TGCATTCCTAACAATTGTTACTTTATAAAGTATTCTCACATGTATCCTATCAACAGATCTTTTGAAAGAGATATACAGGCTGGCGCCGCGGCTCACTAGGCTAATCCTCCGCCTTGCGGCGCTGGCACACCGGGTTCTAGTCCCGGTCGGGGCGCTGGATTCTGTCCTGGTTGCCCCTCTTCCAGGCCAGCTCTCTGCTGTGGCCAGGGAGTGCAGTGGAGGGTGGCCCAAGTGCTTGGGCCCTGCACCCCATGGGAGACCAGGAGAAGTACCTGGCTCCTGCCATCGGATCAGCGCGGTGCGCCGGCCGCAGCGTGCTGGCCGCGGCAGCCATTGGAGGGTGAACCAATGGCAAAAAGGAAGATCTTTCTCTCTGTCTCTCTCTCTCTCACTGTCCACTCTGCCTGTCAAAAAAAATAAATATATAAAAAAAGAGATATACAGGGGCTGGTGCTGTGGTGTGGCGGGTGTGGCAGGGGCTGGTGCTGTGGTGTGGCAGGTAAAGCCACCGCCTGCAGTGCTGGCATCCCATACGGACGCTGGTTCGAGTCCCCGCTGCTCTACTTCCGATCCTGCTCTCTGCTATGGCCTGGAAAAGCATTAGAAGATGGCCCAAGTCCTTGGGCCCCTGCACACACGTGGGAGACCGTGAAGAAGCTCCTGGCTCCTGGCTTTGGATCAGCGCAGCTCCAGCCATCATGGCCAATTGGGGGAGTGAACCAGCAGTTGAAAGACCTCTCTCTCTCTCTGCCTCTCCTCTCTCTGTGTAACTCAAACTTTCAAATAAATAACTAAATCTAAAAAAAAAAAAAAGAAAGAGATACACAACAGTAATGCCTGGTTGAATGTTTGATGATCCATTGCAAACAGCAACTATTGTGCTTTAATTTTCAAAACAACACACAAACAAATCAGCTAACTCAGACCAGGCTCACCAGCCCCAGCAAATCCACTAACTGCCCAGGCTCCCTCCCACTCCACATTCCTCCCTGCGTGTACATTACAGGAAAAGTGGCTAGATTTTTCACAGCTTGTTTGGGAGTCATTAACTATGTTTTATGAATTCTACAACCTATTGTTTAGATATAAATCTTCTATGGCTAAAGACCCAGGACTACCGCATTCCAAGGACACCATTTCAATGTGAGAAGTGGTGTTCTCTTTTCTCGTTAGGTAATCTTTTGAAATCGGTGCTCCTAAGTACAAAGCAGTGTCTTTTCTACCCCGGTGTGTAGGGGTAGCATCAGAAGACGATGATCAGAGCGAAGCACAGGTACTCAGAGAAGACAAAGCAGGATGCAGCTCGGATCACTCATTATTGCTTTCAGAGCCTTCTTTTCTCTGTCTTCTCCCAGTGCCTGTGCAGGCTCTCCCCACCCCCACTGAAGCACCCTGTCTTTGATTTGACAATGTGACACATATTCAGCCAGAATTCACATCATCATTTATTTGGAGAAAGCAAAAAGGAGTATATATGCTTTCAAGAAAGTAAAAGCAACGAGCTCATACAGCAAAAGTGTATAAACAAGTATATTATCTATTTAATTGCCTTAGCTGAACTTAAAAGCTCTGATCTTTAATTGCCTGATTGAACTGATCTAAAAAGCTACAATTTTTTAATCAAGGAGAAAATTAAATAGCTTTTTGGTAAATAAAAAGGCATCTTTAATCTTATTTTTATGGAATCCATGTTATTAAATATGGACAAAAACCTCTAAAATACTAAGTTAGCAAACACTCAACCTGGGTAAAATTCTCATGACAATGCTTTATGAAAGTCTTTGAGGACACCTGGCTTCTTCCATAAAAAACACACGCTTTTCAATGCAGAAGGGGCAAGGTTTTGGTTCTAGCAAGGAAAGCTGGCAGCCACCCCTGTATTTAGTGAGTGAACCGGGGCAGCTTGGTTACCCCTGCAGCTGAGGCCCGGAGCTGCTGGGGAATCGCTGACCCTCTGTGCTGCTCTTGTCTTTCTTTCTTCTTCTTCTTCTTTTTTTTTTTTTTTGGACAGGCAGAGTGACAGTGAGAGAGAGAGACGAGAGAGTCTCTCTGTTGGTTCAGAGAGCTGGCCTGGAAGAGGGGCAACCGGGACAGAATCCGGCGCCCCGACCGGGACTAGAACCTGGTGTGCTGGCGCCGCAAGGTGGAGGATTAGCCTAGTGAGCCGCGGCGCCAGCCTGCTGCTCTTGTCTTTCTGTGCAGACACAGGCGGCTGCACACTCGCTCCCTGGCATTTACTTAAACTGAGACCCTGAAGCCACCCCTACCCATACTCAGCCCCTTGCAGGGTTCCCTCAGCTCACAGGGCTTTGCAGCAGGCTACTCTCTGGGAAGTGGGGCAGCCCACATGGATGGCCAAGACAAGTACAGGCTCGGATTTGCTAATGAAACCTCCACACCCTCAACTCATCAAACCACTCCCGTCCTCTAAAGCACTGCTCAGACAGCCCCTCGGAGACCCACACTCAACCAGGGCCAGGAAGAAGGACCCACTGGCCTCTGGGAGCTCTGGTCAGCTGCGTTTGCTCACTGTGATAAGGGCAGGGCTGGGGGAATGGACCGGGAGTCTGAACCAGGTCCTCATTTTTGGATCCAGACAAATCCATCTGAAACTTGTCTATCAAGACCCCTTTTCAAATGAAAAGAGCATTTAGTTCTCCCAGACATAGAGTAAAACTGAAACCAAATTATTTAGATTTGGGAATATTCAAGGTCTATCCACTTATTGGCACAACTGCTAGAGGAAAAACAAGGGTTACTACAGAATAACTCACACAGATTTCCCTATTAACTGCAGTTCCCAGTGATACTAAGCTCCCTAACGGGGTGTTAGGGCCACAGAGGAGGCATCCACGCCGGAATGATCCCAAGGCTCACTTGCACCATCACAACCCTCTAGTTTCCATGGCGCGGGCCCTCTTAACGAGGGCTTCGCTATTGAAAATTGATGTCTTCCTTTAGTCCCATTGTCAAGTGGATAGCAGATGTCCATGAAAATCAATAAAATTATGAGAATTGATCACTGGGTTAATTCCTATTAAAACGGTTATAACCACTTTATGGCCTGATGGGTGTGGGGAGGTGGAAGTACCAGGAACACACACAATTGAAGTGGTTCGTGTTAACTACCACTCTCTCTTGGTCCTGGGAGTGAAAAAGCTTTTATTTTTCTTTCACACCCTGCCCCCGCCCCCGACATGTTTACATCCTGAATCACAGCAGAGGAAGCAACACTAACACAACTCACCCCCTTCCAGAATCTACACACTGCACCTCAGCACCCTAGAACAAGTGTGGACTCCTCATCCCTACCCCCCCCCCCCAACACACATGCATGTGGGGACCATGCCATTATGCTCCGGAAAACAGAGTGGACTGGTTTTAAAGAAAAGTCTGGTTTCTGATTCCATTTCAATACTACAAGTACCTTGAAGAACAGAATTCAAACTTCTCTTGTCAAAATCTAAAGAGACAGCCTCTTTAAAATTCAGAATGCCTAGGATACTAAAACCACCCTCGGAAGAAAGCTGCCCTCCGAGACAGAGATGAGGTTTAGTTGAAGACATCCTTTTTTTCCCGCTTCTTCCCCATACCTTTTTGTTTTTTAAATCCTTCTTTTAATCACATCTTCTGTGTATGCTGTGGCACTCCCCAAACCTACAAGAAGCTAGGATGAGCAGATGTGTAGAACTACATGGGACTGAGGACCACGAGCTTGAAGCTGCTCAGTCATAGTCCCTTTCTCACCTAATAGTTTATTCCAAGTGAATTCCGACATTTGGGGACCATTAAAGCCAACAAGAGGAGGGTCCTTTCAGAACATTCAGTAGTCACCTGATTCTTCTCTCGTGTGTTCTGTTAATAGGCTGGGGGACTATTTTTGATGCTTTCACCCAATGCCTTAAAAATCTCAATTTCTCTTTAAAAATTTTTTTTAGCTATTGTTAATTTTAAATTTATAAAACAAAAAATCATGACGTAGTACCACAATGAGTTCCTCTATGCACTTCACTCTGTTTCCCTGTTAATATCTAGTGTCTCTGCCACAATTAATGCACCACACCCAGACTTCCCTAATTTTTTAATCCAAAAAACTTTCATCCCTCAGATCCTTCCTAGCCTCTCTAGTAATCAACTTTCTATGTTCCATTTGAATTTTTCTTTAAATTTTAGCTTTCACATATAAGGGAGAAAGAGGGATATTTGTGTTTCTGTATCTGGCTTATTTTACTCAACATGGTGTCTTCCAATTCCATTCATTTTTCTGAAAATGACAGGATTTCATTTTGACAGCTGAAGAGCATTCCATCGCATATACACCACGTTTTCTTTAACCATTTATCTGATGATGGACAAGCTGTTTGATTCCAAGTGTTGGCTACTATGAACAGTACTGCTATAAACATGGTAGATTCAATGTGTTCACGTCTTCAGGGCATATACCCAGTAGTGAGATTGCTGGATTATATGGCAGTTCTATTTCTCGGTCTTAAAGAAATGTCCCTACTGTTTGCCAGGGTGGTTGCAGTAATCTAAAGAGCGTAAGGGTTCCCCTAGCTCCACATCCTCTCTAGCACCTGCTGCTCTCTGACTGCTGGACAGCAGCCATTCTGACTGCGTGCCAGGTTTCACTTTCCAGGTCTGTGAAACCATCCCACCAGGAGCAGGGTATGAAGGCCCTGAAAGTTAATATAAGCAAGGATGCAACTGTGCAGAAACTGAAGGCTTTGCAGCAACTGGAGTTAAGTATGACAAATCAGACTCTGTCATTTTCAAATATTATGAAATATCTTTTTACATGTTTGGTAAATGTGATTCACAAAAATACAATGAACGTAATGGAGGGAGAAAACAAGAAAAACAACATTTATAAAGCAGTCATCATTTTGACTACTAAACATATCAGCTGGCTTAAATATCAGATCATGTAAAAAAACAAGGTACCCAGAGAGCCCAACCACCACTCCAAATTAAGACCGAGCTCATAAGTCTGCACATACCTCGATGCAAAATCTTTAAACTCCACAAATAGGTAAGGCCTTTAACAACCTGAATTTAGGAAAGAGAAAAAGTAAAATTATCATTTTTTAGAGGGAATATTTCACATTTAAATGTACTAACCACAATTCTTACATTAAAATTCTGTCAACAATAAGCATTTCTCCATCAGTTCCCAATTTGGTGGGGACATAAAATGCAGAGATACAGTTTCCTTTTTTGAGTGAGCTCATAATATTCTCAAGATCAGTCACACCAAGTGTATATCAAACATCAAGTACGTGTGTATCAAATGACCTGGAACTGTATACACACTCACCTCTTCTTAAAAATTTTACTTCAAAATAGTTTTAAATTTACAAAACAAAAGTTGTGAGGCAGAAATACAAAACACCCCCATAGCCCTCGCCCCACTTCCCTGTATCGACTTATTTGTCACGACTGAGGAACCACACACTCTGACTTCTGAACGACCCTGGGAGCAGGCGAGGAGAGGGCAGTGGAAAAGCACAGACTTCTCTCTTTGTTTTCATTTCCTGCTCTTCTGTGTGTAAGCTTTTGTTAAGTCATGACGTATATGACCACAGAGAGAAATTTCTAAAAAGTCAGCAAACTAGTGAATGAAATGAGGCTCTTCTTGCCGATTGCCAGGAAGCTCGGCCAAGGTGCTGAGCCTTGAGACGGCATTCAGGCAAGGTGAAGGTGTACCATCAGTGTTCTCTTCAGACACCAAGGCCCTGGGAGACCCAGAGAGATGCAGAGTGACAACCAAACAGTGTCTGATCCCACACAGGATGCTGGGCCAGGAATGCTGCTGCCTTTGGTCCACAAATGACGTTACTGCACAACTGGAAAAATCTGAATAGGAAATAATATTGTGTCCACACTGATTTCTTTTTCAATGTGACTGTTAGGAAATACACACCTAAAGTATTTAGGGGTTAAGACCATCTCTGTGTCTTAGGGGGAAATGATGGCTTTTTAATCACATGTGTTAAACTGCTACTGGGTGGGAATTCTTTGTATTATTTTCACGAACACCATAAGTTTGAAACAATTTACTCTAAGTGTACTTTCAAAGCAGGAGGCTGGGTGTGGTTCCTAAATTGTGACCCACTTCATACTAATACCAGACAGTAATGGTAATGGGGAAGCGGGAGGTGGGGTATGAAACTCTGAACTGCTGCTTCATAATTTCTGTTTTGTAAGCTTCACTCTGTCCTGATTTGTTAAAAAGTTTAAAAAACAAAGCTCCTCCTTCCCATTTTTTAAATGAATTGGAACAGCAAAGAATGACGTTGATGAAGACAGCCCTCACGAGCGGGCTGCCTGCTGCTCACCACGTGCACACCACGTGCAGGCAAGGAGGAGGGAACACAAGGAGAAAACGTCAGGAACTGCTGGCGCTTTCTCCATCCACAGCCCGAGTTAGGAATAACTGGTGAAATGAGATGTGGAAAAAAAGGTGTTTTCAAGACCCTAAGCACACTGTGGTTCCAGGTATCACCCTCTACTGGAAAATTTAGTCAGTGGTTTTCATGAAGATCTTTCAAACTATTTGAATACAAACTGTTACCAAAGACGCAGCATGCACATGTTTTATTCACAACCACTGACCCTAGATGCACGTGCATATGAGCTCATCACCTTCAACACTGTTCATAATTATACATCATTTACAGCGAGAAAACCATCATTACGCAAAATGCTTCACAAGAATTTAAAAGTGCCAATCACTACAGAAGGTTTTAGGTGAGGAGGGACAAGAACAAGAAAACCTATTACTACAAGAAGTCGCTGAGTGGTTTACACATCTTAAAATGGTGACAGGGGGACTGGGGCCACATACGCCAGGGCTGCAGATGACCCAGGACAACGGTAACAGAAGTGCAAAGGGAGAAAACCAATTTCCGAATACTGAAGATCTAGAAGAGAGTCTCCCTGAATGAACGCCCAGCAGAAGTGATCGCAGGGTAATTCTTCAAGCGGGGCTGGGTGGGCCCCGGAAATACTTGCTGACATGGTATGATCAAGTCCCCATTGTGTTTGTCTATCATAGGAGAACAGGACACACTTTTATAACACGTGATTTCTTCCAGGGTTTGCAACACTGGCATTGCAATAAAACACTTGTGTTCTGGAGGGTAAGACATAAAAAACAAAGGGTCAGAATACTACTGATAATCTTATACAGGACACAAGAGAACAAAAAATTTCTTCAAATGTTTATAAAAATAACATCAATTTGAATAGTAGGAGGTCATCTTACTCAGCATGGAAGTTACTTTTTTGTTAAGAGTTATTTATTTATTTATTGGAAAGTTAGAATTACAGACAGACAGAGATCTTCCATCCATGGGTTCACTCCTTAGGTGGCTGTAACAAGCCAGGGCTGGGCCATGAACTAGGAGCTTCTTCCTAGTCTCCTACATGGGTGGCAGGGGCCCAACCCAAGCTTGGGTCATTTTCTGCCCCTTTTCCCAGGCCATTATCAGGGTGCTGGATCAGAATTGGAGCAGCTGGGACACAAACCAGCACCATATGGGATGCCAGCATCAGAGGCAGCAGCTTTAGCAGCCACACCCTAACACCAGCCCCCAGAAGTAATCTTATGCGTTCTGAGGAAGTAGGGTTAAACATCTCCACTTAGAATCTTATTTGCATATTATAAAATGCCCACTAAATATTTATGAAAGATGGTTAACCACTAAAACTAGTTCCACAGGAAATACACAAGGGGAAGGCAATCCAATATATTCAGATTGCCAGATAGAAAAAAAAATAGAACAAATACTGATTATATGGTATTTGTTAGAATGACAAATTTTGTTAAGGATTAATAAAGAAAGTACGATTCTTCCAACTTTACAGGCTATATTTTCCTCTAGGAACCTACAAATATTAGCATTCAAGGAAACTGGAAATGTATCCGTGGAAAAACTAGAGGGCATTATTGGTATGCGGGAGGCTCGGGTTCAAGATGACGACCTGACAAAGCCTTGACACAGAGTACTTCTATCTGCTGCCAATCCCTCAGTCCTCGACAGGTCCAGCGTACATCCCTTCCGTGACAACGTCAATCACCGTCAGCACTCAAAATGCAGGACACAGGGCCACTGCTCCAGAGATGAGAGCAAAACGCAGGCGTGTCAGGAAGCAGGAAGAGGCAGACAGGCACTCCTCTTTCCAGCTTCCGGTGGACGGGGATGAAAATCACGGAGCGTGTCCAACGGCTGCAGTCTTTACACGGATTTCTTTGGGGAAAAATACTCTGGGGTTGCCGCTGGGGCGTGCTGGGTTCTAACGCTGCCTGAGATAATGGCCTGGCATATGAGTGCTGGTTGGAGTCCTGGCTGCTCTGCTGCTAATCCAGCTCCCTGCTAATGTGCCTGGAATACTGGGGCTCCTGCCACCACACAGGAGACCTGGATCAGTGTCAGGCTCCCGGCTTCCACCTGGCCCAGCCCTCGCGTTGCAACCATCTGGGGAGCAAATCAGCAGATGGACGATCTCTCTCTTTCCTTCTCTCTCTCTCTGCCTTTCAAATAAATAAAAATAAATCTTAAAAAAAAAAAAAGAAACAAAAGGTCTCTTGTCATACAGCAAGGAATGCCTAAATGTGGTTAAAGACACAGTAAGAATATAAAGCAAACATATGTTTCACTCCATGATTCTCTCATTTCTACTTCTCTCTCTCTCTCTCTCTCTAAACCAGGCCTCCCATTCACTCCTCCTCCCATTTTTTTTCTCATTCTCCGAGGAAAAGAGAGTAAAAGGATAAGGGATCTGGAAGCAGGTAGCCATGTTCTCAGGTCAGTGCTGACCGCCTGGACCCTACCTCCGCCACACTCCCTGGCTTTCCAAGCATCACGCTGCCTGGGGTGAAGCACGTTCGGGAACCCACGCTTCAAGAGGGCTACTTGAAGACTCAATGACCACCTCTCGTTCACAGAGCGCGCAGCAGGGACAGGCACAGGAAGTGTTCACGCATCCCCAGGTCCCTCCTCTTCCCCTCTGCTCCTAGCTAGAGCACCACACGCCTTCAAGGGCTCCCTGAGGAAGCTCAGGAGCAGGATGCTGGTGGTGCCTTCTGAGAGCTGTATGAGAAATAACCAAGGAGACTGGAAACCCAACAAGACTGCAGAGACACTGACTTAACAACCGTGACCTAGAACCCACCAATCTGCCAGTCTAACTGTGACTGAAACAAACCACCCAGTGCCAGGTGTCAGCCCGGTGCCAATCTGGGGACCCTCGGCTACAACAAAGTTTGCAGCCTATTCAAATTTCTCTCTCTTTCTCTCTCTTCCAAGGTATCATGCAACTTAATCTCTAGCAGAGTCTGTTGAAAATGGTAAAGAAAGAGCAAAATTATTAGAAGTAGTTTTTATTACTATGACCTTATAAGTCACAAAGGCTGGCAAAACTGGATATATTTAAGATTTTTTTCAAAAAAGCAAAAATCCCAACGAAGAAATCTAAGTACAAATGAACAACACTTTAGACTAGCACTTGCTTGACTGCTTCTTGCTGAAGTAATTTCTGTCATATTTTCCATTACTCCCCAGGCAAACCCTGTACTTGAGGCTGTACTGTTCTCTGCAGACTCCATCAGCCTCAGAGTCTTCCAGCCCCGCCCACCAGAACTGAGACCCAGTGGCCTCGTGTGGCCTCGTGTGTGTGCCCTGCTTAGAAGGGAGGCCAAGATTTCTATTTTTTTGCCCAGCTCAATAGGCAATGGGGTATACAGAACTTATATACTTTTTTCTTCCCCAATTGGCATCCCTGCCTTTTTTTTTTTGCCCTTTATTATCCGTGCTATTAAACTTTAGAGCTAAGAACTGCCAAAAGCCACAAAGCATCCACCCCTCTCTTCGAGATTAAAAGAGGAAATGAAACATTTTTATTTTCATCTAAAATCGTGCTTTAGGTACTCAGACTTCATACTGAACTAATCCACCTACTTGTAGATGAGAAGCTGCTTAGCAGCGGTAGCATCAGAAAAGAAAGTTCTCATCACCCTGGGCAGTTCACACTAATAATTAGAAAGAAAAAAGGGAATCTGGGAATTACAATGAACTGCGACTGAGGAAGCCTCCACGTTGGATTAAAGGATTTGGCTGTCAGTCTGCTGTACAACGAGTGTGAATCAGCCACTTAATTACGTGGTCCACGGCATACGCACTTTGTTCTGCATTCGCCCACTGCAGATATCAGAGAGCCGTTAGTTTAGCTACTATCACACCACCCTGTGGCTTCTCTTAGACACTGGCTGGCCTACCCTCCTCCAAATTTGAAATCTGCAGCTTACATAGTAATGTCAGGTTAGCTGGTACATTTCAGCAGTTTATTTGTCAAAGCAGAATACAGGAAAACTGCTTTTAATCACAAGCGGAATAATTCCTAGGGGCAACTGAGGAAAAAAACTAAACACCAAGAATAGAAAACTGTGAAAATCTTCAAGAACTCAGAAGCATTTTTGCATAGGCTGTTTTAATAATTCTCACTTCCTAAGCATTTTCTAATCCTATCATCTGTAACAATAAAATGTCCAAAAAAGCCAGTTTCTTTTTGAAGAATCTGGAAATTTTACTTGTCAGTAGGAACACCAAGGTCCCTGCAAAACCATGACAGCAGAACAGGGCAGAGCACCTAGAAGACGAAGAACGCCAGGTGACCACATTGTGGGTCTATGATAGACAAAAGTGATCAAAGCACTGGGAAGTAAGAAACTGGATTGGGATTAAAGAAAAAGAAGCATCCTGAAGATAGAGAAAGAACAGGCTTGAGCAGAGGGCTAGATCACCCAGACTGCCTACCCTGAAGCAAATACTTACTGCGACTGCAATTCTTCCAAGGACATGTTCTGGAATTTTCCTATATACATCCAAAGATCCCCCTGTAGAGACAAATACCTTGTTACTATGAATGAAAACACCACACAGTGCACTGCGCTCCTTCTTAGTGTGTTCACTGTAAGAATCCACTTTCCCATCATGTGTAGGATAAAATGGGAGTTCAAGTCCAACTTTATTTAAGACACAGCATATTTCCAGATGCAGTACAATTGGACACTTCCATCTTATTTCCAAGCATACAGTCAACTGTACGAAAAAACGGAAGGCAAACAGTCAAGGGCTGCCTAAGAATGTACGTAAATTTAAACACATACACGAGACTCCAGAGATCAACATGACAACCACATTTAGGCACCTGCCTGGGTACCAGTTTTCTCAAATGTAAACCAAAGCCCTATCTTGAAATTTTCACATTGGCCAAACCAAACCGGTAGATGTAAGGTCCAAAATACACATAAAAACTAAAAAAGTATAGATAGCAACGTTCATGGTGTCTGAATGACTGTTATTCTGCAACTTAGGTGCCAAGACAAGCAATCGATCTATTCCAAATGTTTTTCTGGAACTTCTCTTTTGATACCACTTTGAAAGCTACATGATGAGGTAAAAAAACCCACAGTCTCATGAATTCATCACCTCTCTCTCAGTCAGATGATAGTCACTGACAGAATTCAGCAAACCAAACCCACCGAATTGTGAGCATAATTGAGGCAGGAGCCATTATTTTGTTTTTCATTTTCATTCATCTAGAAATTAGCACAGCAGATGTTTAATAAATACCTGTCAGACAAATGAATGAATGAGCTGAAATTACCATGGATTTCACCAGATCGGTGTGGCTGCTCTGAAGTGGTTTCAAAGGAGCAGATCTCAGGCCTGCCCTAGCAACAACAGCGTCACTGGCAGAAAGGAGGTCTCCTGGGTAACCATTCTGAAGAACTGAATACTCACTTTAAGTATAAATTTGTGTATGTTTAGAAAATTGGAATCTCACACAAGTGGCCTAAGAATCTCAGGAACAGAGTGTTTGAAAAGACAGTATGAGAGTTTTTTGTTTTTTTTTTTTGACAGGCAGAGTAGACAGAGAGAGAGAAAGACAGAGAGAAAGGTCTTCCTTCCATTGGTTCACTCCCCAAATGGCCGCTACAACCCGCGTGCTGCGCCGATCCGAAGCCAGGAGCCAGGTGCTTCCTCCTGGTCTCCCATGTGGGTGCAGGGCCCAAGCACTTGGGCCATCTTCCACTGCACTCCCGGGCCACAGCAGAGAGCTGAACTGGAAGAGGAGCAACCGGGACAGAATCTGGCGCCCCAACCGGGACTAGAACCCGGTGTGCCGGCACCACAGGCGGAGGATTAGCCTATTAAGCCGCGCCGCCGGCCGTATGAGAGCTATTTTTAAAAAATATTTATTTATTTATTTGAAAGCGTTACAGAGACAGAGAGAGGGAGAATGAGAGAGAAAAGAGAGAGAGATCTATCTGCTGGTTCACTCCCCTGATGGCCGCCATCAGCCTAGGCTTGGTCAAGCCAAAGCCAGGAGCCAGGAGCTTCATTCAGGCCTCCCATGGGGGTGGCAGAGGGCCAAGCACTTGGGCCATCCTCTGCTGCTTTCCTCTGGCCATTAGCAGGGAGCTGGATCAGAAGTGGAGCAGCCAGAACTCAAACTGGCACACATATGGGATGCAGGCGGCAGTTTTGCCTGCTACAACACTGGCCCGGATATGAGAACTTTTTCAATACCTTGAAATAAACTTTAGGATTCCAATCAAGGTGTACCGATTTCTTTTTCATAAAGAAACTGTCCAGGATATTTGAGAAACATTTTTCCCATCAGAGGCTAAACACTGCTATTTACCATCTTACCACAGGTGTTTATAAGAGTGCCTCACAAGGCCCCAGTATGGAGCGTGCCATTCTTTTGAAATGCTGTAAGTCTATTCTGAAAACGTCAGGATTTTTACACCAAGTTTTCCTAAAGAGAAAAATGGAATCATTCTTCTCTGAAAAACAAACAAAAAAGCTATACATGCATATACGAAGCCACTGGCTCTGTGGTTTTCCTGATCCAAGCAGAGAGGAGGAAACAATCGCTCTCTCAGGTCACTTCTGCCTGCATTTCCAGAGCGGGACAAGAATCTGGGAAACCACAGTGTGACTCAGCTTACGCTTTCTCCTGCGCGCTCCTGGAGAGAGACTGAAAAACCACACTTCTGCAATGAGCTGAAACACTCTCACCAACTAAGATTTTTATTACAGACGCAGAGAAGGTGAAGAAAAAACATTTGTGCCCTCATGGATCTTTCCGAGGAACTGGCAGTTGCAAGGATGAACACTGTCAGGAGTGACGTTTACATGTGGGTGTCTGGAAGACTGAAAAGGCACCTCACGGGACCAACTACTTAGGAGTCGAAAGCCCACCCACATGTACCTGTAAGCAGTCTTAAGAGGAGATTTACTTTTAAGTAGGAGATAAATCAGAGTTTGATCAGCCAGTTGGGCAATGGTTTCAACAAGCCAAACCAAAACGACAAAGATCACCTTATGACCATCATCAGGAGATGAAGCCAAAGGGAATCCCACTTTGAGGTAGTTTACTTCTTTTGTTTCTGTAAATATCGCTTTAAAACGTCACTTTTCTTAGCCATTCTTACAAATGTTTACATCTCTGGCTCTGTATCATCAGAATCATCCTGTCATTTTCATGTTCAATAGCGATTAAAAAAAAAAAAAAAGGCTGTAGCTGATCTACTCAGAATTAAGTCTGTACTGAGCTCCACGAGTTCTCTTTGCAATTCAGTAACTCCTATCAGGCTCAAAATGGCAGAGGGATTTGGTGTAATAAAAATTACTAGATAAAAATCTAGTTTTGCTCTCATTTCTAAACTATAAGTCTATCCAAACAAGCAATTCTTAGATCTACCAACTTATCAAACAGTGGGGCTGGGAATAACATTAATGATGAGTCCCGTGATTATCTGACAGATGGGGGAAACTCACTCAGGAGATGTGTTCCAGCCATGCCCATGAATCGGCTGATGGCAGAGCTCAGGGAAGACCCAAGCATTTGAACTCCAAAGAGCAGAAAAGCTATCTCACATAGCGTGAGCGTCACATGCAAACTTTCTGCAGCCTGAAATGTCTCGCTGATTGCCATATTGTAAGACATGCATGGACACAGTTTACCCATAGCTGACACACTGGTACTCAAGGCATTTAGAAACTTACTCATCTACAGCTTGGTTGCTTTGGGTTTTTGCTCATAATTCCAAGGCCACTAGTTTGCTCTCTGTGACGTGTCACTTTCTTGTGTTCCCTATCCATAGGTTACTCCTAACCAGTCATTACACTGCATGTCATTATCCACCATAGGAACCAAGAGGGAGACTTTTAGCAGTTCAGCAAAAACTCATGCCAAACAACTCCTTCTCTCACTCATGCTTCTCTTGATAAATTAGGGCCATCATCTTCATGAAAGTAGGCCAAAGGACTCGGGGTAAGGCCTGTGTTTACCCTACTACAGGGTCTAAAATATTAAATAGCACCTTAAGTGGAAGATACACACAAATATGTGGTAAACAATGAGAAGCAACATTACTATCATATTAGTCCCAACATTTTTTTTTAAGATGACCATATACATTAACAAAATTGAAATCTGAAGCCACAAGCAAAAATTTAGTAGGAAGTCTCTTAGCTTTCGCTAATTTGAAAATGTGAGGGGGTTTTAAAAATTTTCATGGAAAAACTGAATTAATAATATACATTTTCTATGAATTTCTGAAGCCCCCTCATATAAAAAAAGCCCTTTCTTTGTTTGAAGCATATTTTTTGCAGGAGGTGGAGTGGAAAACAATTTATTCCATGCATTCCTAGGGGTGGGCATTCAGGGCAGTGGTTAAGATGCCACTTGGTATGCCCACATCACATGTCAGAATGCCTAAGTTTGAGCTCTGGCTCCACTCCCAATTCCAGCTCCCCGTTAAGGCACACCTTGGGAGGTGGCAGGGGATGGCTCAAGTATCAGGGTCCCTGCCACCCATCTGGGAGACCCAGACTGAGTTCTGGGACTCTGGCTAGCCTCAGCTGTTGCACATTTAGGAAGTGAATCAGTAGATGGAAGATCTTTGTCTCTTTGTCTCTCTGGTTTTCAAATAAAAATAAACAAATAAAAGTTTTGAAAAACATTCACATATTCAGAGATCCTCTATTTGGGTATTTCTGAGTGTATTTAGTTTTAACTTAAAAAGAAAGCATATCACATCACTTCCCAACTTTAAACTTTCCAATGGCTTCCTAATAAAGTCTACTTGAAACTCCAACTTGCCAGGGCCCACAAGGCCTGCATGGTCGTGCCAGACTTCTCTGGCCTCTTGTCTGGCCCCAGGCAGTCTCATCATCACTCTCTGGTCACCCTGGCCTTCTTGGTGGCCCTTGATCACATCCAGCTTGCTTCTACCTTGGAGCATTTTTCTTGCTACTCTCTTGGCCTCAAAGTTCTTGCCTACGACTTCCCTGCGTTACTTCACTGACATTACAATTTCCACGAAACTGCTACAAAAAGCCATCCCCGATAATCTTAATGATAATTTTTGATGGATTAAGGGTAGAGATTTGATTCAGTGTGGTGGACAGGAGGTAGGCCTGGTGGGAGGTCTTTGAGTCACTGGAGACATGTCCTAGGAGGGTAGTTCTTGCAAGAACGATGATTATTTGAGTTCAAATTCAGTCTAGGTTCTGTTTTATATGTAAACAGAAACTGATGTACATCTGTACATCTCCAACTATCATGTCCAAATAATAATAAAAAAAGAAAGTAGCGGCCAGCTTTGTGACACAGTGGGTTGAGCTGCTACGTGCAACGTCGGCATTCCACAGGAACACTGGTTTGAGTCTCCACTGCTCCACCTTGCATCCAGCTCCCTGCTAATGTGAATGGGAAAGCAGAGGAAGATGGCCCAAGTTGTTGGGTTCCCTCCACCCAACTGGGAGACCAGGATGGAGTCCCTGGCTCCTGGCTTTGGCTTGTTGTGGCCATTTAGGG